TAAATGTTAACTTTTACTTTTTAACATAAATTTATTATAAAAATGTATTTATTATATTTTTAATTTATGTTTTTAAAGTATATTTTAGATAAAGTCATAAATAAAGTCTATTATAGAGTTTAAGGGCTTATATGCATCAATTAAAGTCTGAGGGCTTAATAGCGATTCTAGGGTTAGTTCAGGGGCTTAACTTATGGTTTTGCCAAAATAAAACAACCGCCCGCGCAGCCTGCATCGCCTGTCCAACAGTTTTTCCCGTTTCCCTTCACTTTCTCAAAGAAATCACCTTCGCGAAACAGATGCCAAAGAAAAAAAAAAAAAAAAAAGGCAAAAACCAAAAAACAAAACAAAGGAAGAGAATGACGATGCGGGTCGGCCGTCGTGGGGCTCGCGATCGTTGTTATACTGGCGTGGATGACCCCAGAAAACCAGAGGCAGAGAAAATTAACCCCACAATATTTCTTTGTCTTGGAACAATTCCTAGACTTTTTCTAGGATGATTCTGAAGATAAGAGCGAAAATGCGCCTTCATTGACTCTCGAATTTTATTACTATCGCGAAATCTGCTCACTAGCTGAGGACATCGTTAAGTCGACTGGCTGACGTTTACTCGCAGCACAGGGACGTTCCGGCAGCTCTCTCTTGCTCCTTTTTTTCCTGACTGCTTCATCGGGGTACACCCACGTTTTTTGCTCGGTTAAATTACAGTTTGGGTTCGGTGGTTCTTGATGCCGTGTGAAGTCGACGGCATGTCTCTTCTTTTTCCTCTATGGGGTATTTTCTCAAATAGGTTCTCTGCATTTTCGTCTTCCAGTACATAGTGAACAAGATTGTGACTTTTTCCATATTCAGTTAGATTATGAGTTGTTAATTCTTGATGTTCCATAGGGTTTTATAATTCTCGATAGATTTAGTTGTTTCCATATTATTCCTGCTACGTTTAGTGTGGTCTAGTTCTTAATCTTTTCTTAGTTTTTACAAAATTTTAAACAGTTAACGTTTGTTCCGTTCCGCTTGGAAGAATGATTTGGAGTTTCTACAAATTTGTCGCAGCAGCAGCAAACCAGCGTTATCAACATTGAGGCTTATGACAGTGCTTTCACACTCTTTGCCGTTGGTTTACTTACTAGTTAAAGGGTTTGATATCAGCATTGTCATTCTGCCAATCAACTTTTCACTGGGTCTTTTGAATTTCATCCTATAGCTCTAATTTTGATTTTGATCAGGATCTGCCTCTTAATGTTTTGGTTTGGTTTCTTAATCAGGGCTGTGATGCTTCAGTTTTCATGGATGACAGCAATGGTAACAAAAGGCATTCAATTGAGAGGCAAGCTGTACCTAATAGATCCTTAAGAGGCTTCGATGAAAAAAGGCCTAGAAATGGCTTGTCCAGGGGTGGTCTACTAAAAAGATGTTTCTTCAAGTGCCCTTGTCTAATCATCTCAAGGGGAACACAGCATCGGGAAAAATAGCTATGATTCTTTCAAAATCGCCTCTGCAACTTCTAGGAACAGGGCAGCCAGAGCCATGTTCACCATCTGATTTCCTCATTGACGTAAGAAGAAATTGTCAGGATAACACCCCGGGAGAGGACTCCTCTTC